GTTTATTTGTATTACAAAATGAACACATTCATTGTGTTAATCCCTGTCATTAATTATTTCGTAACTCCTTGTAGTTTTTTGTTTTAATCATAGTGTGTGTGTGTACTCACCTAGTTGTACTCACCTAGTTGTGTTTGCGGGGGTTGAGCTCTGGCTCTTTGGTCCCGCCTCTCAACCGTCAATCAACAGGTGTACAGATTCATGAGCCTACTGGGCTCTGTCATATCTACACTTGAAACTGTGTATGGAGTCAGCCTCCACCACATCACTTCCTAATGCATTCCATTTGTCAACCACTCTGACACTAAAAAAGTTCTTGTGTGTGTGTGTGTGTGTGTGTGTGTGTGTGTGTGTGTGTGTGTGTGTGTGTGTGTGTGTGTGTGTGTGGGTTGAGCTTTAACTCTTTGGTCCCTCCTCTCAACTGTCAATCAACTGGTGTGTGTGTGTGTGTCCTGGCATGTGTCCGAGTGTCCGGGAATGTGTTCCATATAGCTTGGATCGTATTCGAAACATGGCTGGAATTATCATATCTAAATCCCCCGCCTTAAGGTATTTAAGATTCAGAGTCGTGCCCAAGCCTACTGCGTGTTGAAGATTCCGGTCTGTAATGCGTTTTGTGTGGGTTGGCTTTATGTTGTCCTTGTTCTCTATACGCGTTTTGTCCACTCCAAATTAACATGCGCTTAATAGCGCAAAACTTTAAACAGAAAAAATTGTAACGGAGCAACATGTAATAATAAGAACTTAGGATTTGGAACCCTGGTCATGGTGCATGTGAAACCAATTCGTGATTGGTGTGGAACCTATTTGTGATGCCTGTCGAACCAACTCGACAGTTCTATCTGTAGAACCAGTTCGCGCTACTTGTGGAACCAATTCGTGCTACCTGTGGAACCAGCTCGTGTTACCTGAGGAGCCAGTTGGTGATGCACAAGAATAACGTACACAGCTGTACATGAGACGCACGTACAGCTCCCAACACACACCTCAGCAAGAACCGGATAGAGATTACGAAACATCCTGCTAGCCTAACCAAGCATTCGACGAGCTTCCAACGTGCAAAAGCACGATCATATGCTTATACTGTTATTGTGCTGGTCAACAATGTGGTCAACAATAATAAATTGTTTCCAATTGGTTTATTTTAATTATTATTATTATATTAGGAACATAAATTATTGATTTAGTTATGTTAGTTTAGGTTAGGTTAAGATAGCTTAGGTTAGGTAGTGTAGGTTAGGTTTGGTCATATATCTACGTTAGTTTTAACTGAAATTTAAAAAATTAACTCATACATAATGAAATGGATAGCTTTATCATTACATAAGAAAAATATCGAAATTCAGGAAAACTTGGCTTATTAGGCAAATCGAGCCTTGCATAGTAGGCCGAGTACTGCGTTCTGGCTACTAGGCACGACATATATATATATATATATATATATATATATATATATATATATATATATATATATATATATATATATATATATATATATATATATATATATATATATGTAGGTAGTAGGTTGATATGGAGGAGCAGCTGTTACCCATGCAGCAGGTCCTCCACCCCCCCCCCCCCTCTCCCTCTCCACGGCGCAGAAAGTCTCCAATGTAAAGGCAAACGCCTATATCATTGGTTCCAGCGCCGTCGCAGGAACTGTGAGGTCCGGAGTTGACCTCGAAGTTGTTGAAAGAAGGCACAGGGACTCCAAACCCGGAGACTGCCGTGGTCGGAGAAGAACCACCCCATCAAGGGCAAGAACTAACATCGCTGTCCCGCCCGAGAATCGAACCCCGGATCCCCGATAGTAAGTCGAAGCAATAAACAGTTTGCAATCAAGTAATAACGTGCTTGTCTTGGAAACTAGACGTAGATATGTAAGAATACTTAGCAAGAGGGTAAATATAAAAATGTTGAGGATTCCTTCTCACATTGGCATGCAGGAACATGACAAAGTTGACGCCCTTGCTAAGGCTGCAGTAAATAAAGACAGTATTGAATGGAATCTTGAGTTATCAAATAGGTCCCTTAAAAGTGTCATTAGACGAGAACTCCTAGATGGATTTGAAGAAAGTAGAACAGTGCAAACTGGAACTAGTAGGTCCATTGTTCATCACAATGAAATGTGTGAAGTAAAACATGTGTATGGGGCAAGTAACAAAGTCAGCAGACTAACAGATGTTGTCACAGCTCGTATAAGACTTGGCTACAAGTATCTCTGGCAGTTCGGCTTGTATAGGGATCTAGATGAAGTAAAGTGTAAAGTGTGTGGACAAAGGCAGGGACACACACTCGAACACTATATCTTGGATTGTTGTAAAATTGAGCCTTTTAGAGATAAATCTAAGCTCACTCTGTATGATATGGCAACCTATCTTATTACCATAGATAAATTACCTGAAATCCTTGCACTGTACCCACATTTTGCTTCCAGTAGATGCACGACATATGAGATTCAGAAACAAGTAGTGTATTGTGAGGACAAATAATAAACAGAAGCTCCCCTATGACTCTGTAATATCCCCATTGGCCAAACTATTATGTATTAACGACAAGACCTACCATTAATGTATGATGACTTACTGTAAATATGTAGCTCTTGTAATAGCACTTTCTCTGTAACTAGCTGACATTGTATCTATAAGGTGTGAAGGTTTGAAGAAATTGTTTATGTAATAATCTAAGATGAGGTCTGATAAAGACCTTTTGTGCCCTCTGTAATGCTTTTGCGCTACCGCTCACAGGATGAGTATGGGGTGCACAATAAACTAGCCGCCTTCGGCGGCAACAATCAAATCAAATCAAGTCGAAGTAGCCAACTGTACTACGAGACTCTTGTCTGGCTATGTCTAGGATTTTATCAATTTAAAGAAGGTACTGTTACATAGAATCCCAAAATAATGTTGGGTACTCCATAATAGTTTTAAATGGAATACTGTATAGTGTTATACACTTCTTTGAATTGCGATGCTTGACCGTAAATAAACAATGCCAAATTTCCTTGAGCAATTATAGCTGCAGCAAGGAAGATTCTCGTCAGTCTCTATACAAAGTAAATAAGTAGATATAATATATTGTTCTTGTGTAGCATGATAGCTAGGCAGTATATATTTGTGTCCCACTTGCGATAACCAATATTTGGCTTAGTATCCCCCATGTTAACCTCGCTCTCATGATAAGAAACTTGTAAGAGCTTATATTTGATTTAATTTGTGTTATATTTCATGTATTATTATTATTATTATTATTATTATTATTATTATTATTATTATTATTATTATCATTATTTATTATTATTCATTATTATTATTCATTATTATTATTCATTATTATTATTCATTATTATTATTTATTATTATTATTTATTATTATTATTATCTGGTATTAATTTTAATACTATTACTTATGATGAAATACCGAGTAAAAGAATCGTCCATAACAATATAAATTTAGAAAAATAAAGAAAGCTGAATGAGGAACAAGATTCATCATAATGCGACCATTGCGTCATGGTTCCCAGAATTACTGGAGGAAGGAAAGGCATGATGATACATGCTCGCGTGGTGTGGGCTTCAGGTACCAGCACCCAATACTTACCTATGAGTGACTATGGGGTTGATCTAGCTCTTTAGCCTCCTCCTACTACCCTTCTTGTACCTGTTCCATTTTGATTTGACTCTTCTGACGTTCTAATTTGTTCGCGAATCTGGCCTCAGGATTCTGAATTGAGGTGGCTTCCACAACTTCTCTCAGGGCGTTCCACTTGTTGACCTCCTGTGCAAGTATTTCTTGATATTTTGTTCGATTCATTTGCGTTTCCATCTTCTACTTGTGTCCCCCTCGTCCTACTTTCTTTCAATTAAAAGAGGCTTTCCCTGTTCACCGTGTCGAATTGTTTTCATCAGTATACTGTGATAATCTCTCTTTATTCTGTCCAGCTGGACAAAATCATCAGGAAAAATAGGAGGGAACCTTTGGCAAGTGATGGTTTCTTGTTTCCATCTAGGCCACTAGATGGATGGCGGCTCTCGGGTAAATTTAGTTCCCCTAACTTATCCTCATAGTATAACCCACTTAATTAGCTCTGGTACTAATCTTGGTATATATATCTGTACTTTTTCAATTTCAATGCTTCACAAAGTGCATATTCGAGGCCGGTGGTCTATTTTAATTTTTAGTATTGGTCCAACAAATATTGCATAGATTGCATTTGAAGAGTCTTGATTAAGAGGCCTAAATGACGTTCTAATGTTTACCAGCGTCCCATATGATGCCATGTTACCCTGTTTATGTGTGTCTCCGGTGTTCATTAGTGTTGGAATTGTATCCTCTCCCAGTTCTTTCTCTCTTCACTATCCCTTCCTCTTATGGTGTAGATGCCTCCTGGTCTCCTTTCGTCCTTTCTCATCTTCATCGCCTTACATTTGTTGGGATTTAATTCTAGTAACCCACTCCTAAAGTTTGCCCACTCCTAAAGTTTGTCTAGATCTTCCTGTAATTTTCCACAGTCCTTCTCGGTTTTTACGTAAGTTATCTTTGCGTCGTCTGCAAACATTGTCAAGTACTAGCTCACGCTCTCGTATAAGTCGGTCTCAAAACTGTCAGTCTGGGTGGCCTCACTTGTTACAGTTTTCCAGATCGGAACCTCTCCGGGTGTGTGGTCGTGATGGTGTGGGCAGGCAGGTGGTGTTGGTGGCTTGTGTTGAGGGTGGTTGTGCATGGGTTGGGCAGCCATGTATATGAGCATAAGGTTGTGGGCTGGTGTGTATGCGGACACGCTTGGTGTGTGTGGTGTGAGCAAGTATGAGTACTGTGGGTGGGTGTGGTGTGGGCGGGTGTACTCAATTTATGGTATGTGTAATTTAATCAACAACTGCTAGGTGGACATAGGCATTAAATGAAAGGAAACCTGCCCAACCATTTTGTCCCGCTCGGGAATCGAATCCTAAATCCCTATTGTGAATTGAGAACGATGCCAACTGCACCACGAGGACCTGTGTGTGATAAAGAGTCGAGTGGCGTGGGCGGGCGTATAAGGAAGCGTGAAATGTTGTGTACGTGGAGAGGAGGCCTGGGGAGAAGCATATAATACATTGTACATGGACGGGCGTGCAGCATGGTGTACATGGGGGGCGTGGTCACCGCCGGACACAAGACTGTACACGTTCCTCTCCGACAAGAACCAACAAGCCGGCGGGTTGCCTGGCAACGTGTAAACAAAGCTGCGACCGTCCGCTACGACCCTGGGTGTCCTCCCTCACTCGCCGCCCGCAGCCCGCCTCATCCCACCCCTCACTACTACTCCTCGCCTCATCCACTATGGACACGCAGGTGGGCACCCTACGTCTCTCACATCTACTCCCCCAACTTGTAGTCACGCTGGGCGACGAAGGAAGTGTTAGGGAGGGAAGTGAAGCTATGGGAGAAAGTGGCAGCTGATGAAAGTGTAGCAATCAGCTGATCAAGAGGGGGGAGGGGTTTGTTATTAATGTAACCTGGCGTTGGCACGTGTCCAGGGCGCGTGTGGCCCTCACAGGCACATGGCCCCGGGATGACAGCACGGGCCACACCAGGGCCCTCACCTGCTGCTCGCTATATACAACGTTGCAACATGACTTAAAAAAAAAAAAGAGTATCGAGCTTCAGTTTGAGTGGCAAAGCTTCACTGTGATGAACATTCGTCCAGTTGTGTGTTTTTGCCCAAGACCGCGGGTTGGGTAGGTTATATGGTGACTAGATATGGAAAGACGACATTTATTGTGCTTTAGATTTATGGGCTGTTTTATCTACTGTACCTTAGCATCTCCTTTTAATGCGAGCGTGTATTTAGTGTATGTTTATGATTAATTCATTGTGCTGGGGGAACAGGCAGCCAGTATATGGCAACCCGTTCTCGCAAATTTAATAAGTCAATATTGACTTATTAAATATGTGCATAGGTGACATACTTAACATAATAGATACCCTTAAAAAGATTCATAGAAAACACCGACCTTACCTAACCTACTTAGTATGTTAAGATAAGCATATTATTGCTTCGTAATTACAATTATTACCTAACCTATAATAGGTATAGGTTAAGTAATAATTGTAATTACGAAGCAATAAGATGCTTATCTTAAGATACTAACAAGGTTAGGTAAGGTCGGTGTTTTCTATGAATCTTTTTAAGGGTATCTATTATGTTTAGTATATCACCTATGCACGTAGTTAATAAGTCAATATTGACTTTACGAATTTGCGAGAACGGGTTGGTATATGTATATACAAGTTACTCTTAATTTGAGGTGTCTCCTCTGCCCCCAAGATCAAACTACTGACCCTTCCCAGGATGTAATCCACAACAAGCTCTAATTCTTGGGAACATTTTTATTGCTAGGTGAACAGAGGCATTACATGAGGGGGAAATGCGCCCAACCATTTCTGTCCTGCTTGGGAATCGAACCTAAAATCCCGATTGTGAATCGAGAACAAACCCGACTGTACTACCAGACCCTACAGTCTCGTGACCATCCCTGCTTTCCACTCATTATTGTCTCCAACATCTTGTAGAAATGGCTACACTATCTTGGCCATGTGCATAAAATTATAGTAGTTTCAACAATATGGCCTTACCTTAACCCAGATAGTGTTGTTATAAACTTGGGAGGTACTTGTCTATTGGGGGAACAGGCTAACATAAATTGTTCAAGCAGTTCTGTGATTATATTATCCTACTTATCTCCAAATAGCACAGTGCTCAATGATTTTACATTTACAATCCTAAGATTTGGGTTATTTTATTAAGCTACTCGCTAGTTACTGCTGAGAGAGCCTTGTGCTTTCTAGACGAGATGGTTTCCAATAAAGTGTGGATCACCTGACTTAATTTGTAAAATTTATATCTCTGACTTGGATTGCTCCAAGTTAATCCAAGACCAATTTGATTATAATATTTCTAAGTTATTTTGTGGTATACATATAACTGGGAGAAGATTGATAGATCTACAAAGGTCTCATATATTTTTCTGATTATTGCATTATTAGGTAAGTTTTGGTAAGGCATGGTCAACTGACTTGCCACCTCTATCTTTCTCTACAAAATCTTAAGTTGCAAGCAATTGCATTTGATACATGAAAATTCACTCAAGAATCCAAAAAATAATCCCAAGTCCACATGCCTAGAGCATCATTTCCAAAACTTGCAATGTTTGGCCAGGTCCTCTCAGCTGCACACCTTACCCCTCTACCATGACATGGTATAAGTTATTCAATCTAGGATTCCACTTAATCCACTGGAAGTCTGGAGGCTTCTACTAAAGCTAATCCAAGTTTTGCATATAACCTCTGTGCACTCCCAACTACGCACCTTTTCCCTGTACCATGACTATCAACACCAGAGTGCATGGGGGTTATACATAAAACTTGGATTTCAGTTAAAGCCTCCAGACTTCCTGTGGATTAAATGAAATCTCAAGTTGTATGACTTCTACCATGTCATGGTAGAGGGGCAATGTGCATAGTTGGGAATACCATGATTGCTGATTTGAGTCATCTCAGTGCTTCAATTGATTTTCTCATTGAAATATATATACAGTATATCATGTCGGTGTGATTTCTTTGCGTATCTAACAATGTTGTCGTTAGCTTAGGATGTCAAGGCAGACTGGCTCATATTCATTGAGTTACTGGATCGGCTTTGCAGAATTGAACTTTGTTGCAGTTAGTGTACTGCAATGCAAGTTTTTCTGCATAGTACTGCTTTAGCAATTTGTACAGACCTCAGCTTCATGGGCAGCTGGCAATTCAGGGCTACTCATTATGATTTAAGCTAAAAGTAAGAGTTCTTGTCCATGTACCAACCATTTGGGCTGGACAGTAGAGCGACAGTCTCGCTTCGTGCAGGTCGGCATTCAGTTCCTGACCGTCCAAGTGGTTGGGCACCATTCCTCCCCCCCCCCTCTCCCATCCCAAATCATTATCCTCATCCTTTCCAAGTGCTATACAGTATAGTCGTAATGGCTTGGCGCTTTCTCCTGATAGACCCCAATCCCTTATCTATATACTTTTAACCTCTTGTAGAGCAAACTAAGTCAGCTTGTTAAAATGCAACTGCCATTTCAGGCTAAGGTACTGTAATTTAAATTTTAAATTTGATTTTAAGCCTAGTAGAAGTTAGACATGACATTAAATTTCTTGTGTTTTTACATATTGTGGCAGTTAAAAGTTCTGTAGAATAGTCTACACTCATTTCAAAACTGAACTATGCCTGCACATTAAATACTAAATATGTAATGTTAGAATCAATCAGATATATGATGTTTTAACATCATTGGTCTGACATAGAAGTGCTGGAAGTGATTTTGTTTGATCTTATGATATTATCACTGCCTTTAACCACACTCACCAAGTGGTGTGTTATTTGTGCTAAAACCATGCTATTCCTGAAAAATAATTTGTGTGTTGTATAGTATTGACGATAAACCACTTTGGCTGTTAGTGCGATGTTCTCGCTTCTTACTGGGTCGGTGTTCAATCCCTGATGGTCCTAGTGGTTGAGCACTTCGTCTTGACATCCTAGCTCCTAGTTCTCATATGTCTTCAAGGTGCTATAGTCGTACTGGCATAGTGCTTTCGCCTGATAATTACCTCACTTTGCCACCCTTGGTTCAATTTTGCATATCCTCTGTTATCTAATTGATGTTCATTAGTTTCTATTTTGCATTATTATTATTATTCAGTATAACAAGTAGGATTTACATGCAACATTTGATAATCATCATGATGTATTGGTTTGTTTACATGTCTGAAATGTTGATAGATCCTCCAGTCTGAAGATGTGGCTTAAGTCATATAATGACTTATTAGCCATATTAGAAGTACTGTACAGTACCTTGCTTGTACGACTTTAGAAACAGATTGTGTAATATACAAAATAATGGATTTTTTTGTTTTAAGCTGTGTATTTTTAATTAATAATTCTATTTGTTTAGCTGGAACATTTAAGATTGCAGTATATATATATATATATTTTTTTTTCAGAATGAGGACAATGATAGGCCACAACCTTTACTTGTGGCATTTGGAAACCCATTACTTGACATAACAGCTGTTGTCAAAGACAGAGGTTTACACGATGAGTTTCAGCTTCCTGTAGATGGCCAGTTGGAAGTTGGTGAACAACAGAGAGCTTTATTCAACTTGGTAATGAAAAAGTAAGTTAATTCTTTATATTTTATGGTTAAATGCCAGACACTAAGGATCAGAGCACATTGGAAAATGTCAATAATTTCTTAAGAGTTTAAGTTTCAAGCCTTACTTGTGACTGTTAGTACAGTACATAGTTTGTATGTTGACAAATGACAAGTCTTATGAATGGTTGGATCTACATAACTATTCTGGTGCAAGTAAAGGCAATGTTACATAGAGATGGTTATTGCAATACTATACTGTACTATATTGATTGATTGCTGGTACAATATCTACTTTCAACAGAAATGTCTTTCTTGTTGATTCCTTTTTATACTAGTTGAGTTTAGTTGCTATGATTTCCTGCCTAGCTGAAATATCTGAACCATGTAGTGTCTGGCTGAAATATCTGGACCATGTTGTAATGCTGGTGGTGAGAAGGAAGAGTGAGTGAGGAAAGAAGAGTAAGGGAGAAAGTAAAGGTGATGCATCTCCCCATTCCCTTCACCAACAAGGGAATGGGGAGAAAGGAAATGGAGAGCAGAGGAGGAATGTGCAACCCTCAACATTTGCCTAACTCGGAGAAAGGATGTAGGATGATAAGGGGTGGAAGTTGCATTATTCAGTGATGCAACTTGAGGGTACAGTTTGAGAGGGAGAAAAGAGTTGATTGCATCATTATTGAACTAGCTTGTACCCACCCATGCCCAACCACTTTAAGTATTGTGCAGTGTTTTAAATAGTATTGCCAAAAATACTATTTATCAGCATTCTACATATACTGAACTGAACAGCAGTAGAGTATTTAATTTTATTTTAAGTATAAAATCCTTTGTTCAGCAATGTAACCTTGTTTATGCAGTACAGTACTTAGGAGTTGGCTGCCTCAGTAATATAGAGTAAATGTTTAGCATATTTCAATGTTATAATATTAGCCTCCAATTTTTTGTGTTGAATCAAGTACAATTTCAATTAATTGTACAGAATAACACTGTAGCATTAGGATGCATGTATATTTGTGCTTAGGCATGGTCAGTTCTTAACCTTGTATGACAATGCCTCTGTGTGTCCATATTCTTAACCTTGACAGCCAGTGAAAAAAGATTATATGGTACAGATAAGGTTAACATACAGTATTAAAGCAAAATCAGATTAATTACATGGTTTTTCACCTCAGGTACCCTGTAGAATATACAGCTGGAGGATGTGCTCTCAACTCCTCCCGAGTCTTTTGTTGGGTGCTGGGTGAACCAAACAGAGTTGTTTTTGTTGGAGGGATTGGCAAGGATGAGCAGGCTAAAAAACTTTCTGCAATTATAAAAGAGAGTGGAGTTGTTACAAGGTAAGATTAGTACAGTACATTATTTTTGATTTTCTCAAACCTGTGTCCAATAGTATGTGGTGTAGTGTAGTACTACACATTGCATCTACTTTTGGGTTGCAATGTATATTTAACATTTCTATTATCATGAGTGCCTTCTGAAGAATAGGGAATTATCTTCAGGTTCAAGGGATATTTCACGTTTGGATTTCTTCAGCTTGATAAAATCTTTCACTCTTGTGAAAGAACACAATAAAGTAGCCGTCACAACTGCAAGAAAAATGACAGGTTGGATAACAAGAACTTTTCACACTAGAGATGCTATACCGATGATGATACTTTTCAAAACGCTTGTGCTCTCTAGAGTGGAGTACTGCTGCACAATGACAGCACCTTTCAAAGCTGGAGAAATTACTGACCTGGAGAGCGTGCAGAGATCCTTTACTGCTAGAATCCACTCGGTAAAACATCTAAACTATTGGGACCGACTAAAGAGCCTAAAACTGTACTCCCTTGAGCGCAGGCGGGAGAGGTACATAATAATTTACACGTGGAAAATATTAGAGGGGCTGGTCCCAAACCTGCACACAGAAATAACATCACATGAGACCAGAAGACATGGCAGGATGTGCAGAATACCCCCGTTGAAAAAGAGAGGTGCAACTGGTACTCTGAGAGAGAACTCTATCAACATCAGAGGTCCGAGACTGTTCAACACGCTTCCACTACACATAAGGGGCATAACTGGCCGACCCCTCACAGTGTTCAAGAGAGAACTGGATAAGCACCTCCAAAGGATACCTGATCAACCAGGCTGTGACTCGTACGTCAGGCTGCGAGCAGCCGCGTCCAACAGCCTGGTTGATCAGTCCGGCAACCAGGAGGCCTGGTCGACGACCGGGCCGCGGGGACGCTAAGCCCCGGAAGCACCTCAAGGTAACCTCAAGGTAAGGTTGTCTTGAGGACCTGTTTCATAATTGGGAATGCTCTCTCTGCTCATAAAGTTCTTGATCCAATTTAGAAGGCGCATTTTTCTTATCGGTTCCCCAGATTTCTTTGGAATTTTTGTCTTGTATATTTACAGTATTTTGTCCTGTTCTCGTACCTAATTTATATGAAAATATATGAATGATTCCTCTTTCTTTTGTTTTTACCCTAATATACAGAAGTAAACTTCGTTTCTGAAATTACTCTTTTTAGCATCCTTCCTGTATTTTTCAGATTTGTGGATGTAGAGGACCAGCCTACTGGCATATGTGTAGCACTGGTTTTAGGAGCTTGCCGATGTTTGTGTGCAGACATTGGAGCTGCCAATGTTTGTGAGCCAGATCATGTTTTCAATCCACATCTCCACCCTGTGCTGGAAGCAGCAGATTTTGTTTATGTAGAAGGATATTTCATCACCCACAGCTTTCCTACCACTCTGCAGGTATGTGTGTGTATTTGATTGTAATGTTGTATAATAGGTATATTCGTTCACAATTCTTGACAGAGTTGACTTTTGAGTACAGTAATGTGGTGGGGTTATGCTCGAGGAGACCATGCATCTTACCAGAACTCGTAGTATTTAGTCAAGATCTAGGAAAAATCTGATGCATTCCAGGACCAAGAAATTTATTTAAACAAAATTAATAATATTTGTACTTTAAAATGTTAAGGTATTTACATAGACAACTGCTTTACAATACTGTACTGTACAACATTATTCTGATGTGAAGAAGTTGACAATTTGCTTCTGATAGCAGTCATTTACCAAAGGTTTTGGCTTTGTGTAAATTCACAGGCAATTTTCAAATTATACATAATATCTGAAGAACATTAAAAATTGGAATCTATAAGGCTGAAGGAATTATACACTTTAATAAACTGCCTAATTGCTTGTACATAGAAGCATGTCAGCAGGATGCACAGCTTCATTATTTCCCTGTCCTTCATTTTGTTTGGCATTGTCTGCTTGTGGTGGTTCATGGGCCTCTTGGCACATCCCTATACAGCCCAGGTCTCAGAGACTGGCTCAGTTTCGTTGTGGGTTGTCACCTTAACAGTTCAGGGCTCTCTCCTTCCTGGGAGGAAGGGAAGAGCCCAGTTTTTTGTTGGGCATTTGACTTTTTTGTTTTTGTCCTACATTTGGAAGTTTCTTGTTGGCGTTTGGGAATTTTGTTGTTGAGCGTTTGGCTCTTTTTTTTGTTGGGCGTTTGACACTTTTTTTTTTGTTCTTGTTGAACGTTTGCCATGTTTTTGTTTGGCGTTTGTCACTTTTTCTTGAATCTAACCCCCCTTACGATGTATTTACCAGGCTGGTGTGGGGTCATTGTGGCCTGGCTGCATACCTTACAGGTTCATGTGTTGATGCTCGACTGGTTTGTGTGGGCACAAAGTCAGTCTGTATCAACTGACCAGGGATTTGGTTCTTTCCCAGTTCACGAGTTCAGGTTCCTGGTGAATTGGAGGAAGTCCTAGTTAGTTTCATCCCAGGCTCAGAGTTGTCTAAGCCTTGTTTGGGACTCTGTTGGCTTCTCTGTCCCTGCTACCAGCAGCTTTGCACCACCCTGCTCCACCTGCAATTTCGTTGCCATCAGGTACCATATTGGCCTTGGGATCCACTGCTTCCAGGATCATTGGGTTTGGGCCCCACCTGTCTTTCATCAGCTCCTGCTTCACCAGCTTCCCCTTCAGGCTTTTCTGGGTTTGGCACCATCCTACCCCATTGCTCGATATATTCATGGATGACTTGTATCTGGGTTCAGGCTTTGTGGCCAATGCTGATCTGGCCACCCACTGTCGGTGGTTGGGTCCATTCCTTTGGAGAGACAGTACGGTGTACGGTGCATGAGTTTGTGACTATGTGACATGCCGAGGCATGTCACATAGCCACGTTTTGGCTTTCTTCAGCGTCTGTTTTCCGGCTCCACTCTGATGGAGCCGGTTCATTGCCTGAACTGTGAGGGGTTTGCTTTGGTCCATCATCCTGTGGATCTGGACACTACAAGTAGCTTGGCTTCTGGATTCTTGGAATTTGGTTCTCCATGTGGTTCACACATAGGAGTGTCCAACATACTCAGGGATGGGTTATCTCACTTGCACCCCATATACATGGAGTGGACCATTAAAGACTTCCTTCTGTTGGGTCTGTAAGACATTCGGTCACCCCAAGGTGGACTTCTATGTATTACTATGGAACTGGCACCTTCCCTTATGTGGTTCCATTCTGCAATTGCAAGATGCTCGTGGTGCATGCCTTTCCACTGGACTGGTGGAGGTACATTTCCTTTTTTGTCCCCCAGTTCAGTTGTTGCCTCAGGTTGTGTCCAGTCTGGCATTGTGCTTGGGGAGGGTGATCCTTTTGTCATCTTAGTGGCTGGTGCAGACTTGGTTTTCAGCTCTTGTCCCGTGTCCAAATCTAGGCATTTTCCTGCTGCTTTGCCCTTTTCGGCAGATTGGCCCAATCTTATTTTGCTGATATGCCTTCACATCTGGACCTTTTGACATGGATATTGCCATATGTTTGGTGATCAGGTGGCGTGGTTGTTAGTATCCAACTTGAGTCATTCTTTGCGGTGACAGTATGAAGCTGCCTGGCACTTGTTTGCTTCCGGAGGGGACACTTTTGGTTGTTGATGGTTAGGCCAGTGATGCATCATTTGGCGTGTTCATTGGTGGCTCTTCACCACTACCTGTGGGTCACCTGTTCTGCCTCAGTGGATCCCTTATTTGTTGACCCTGTTTCCTTGGTCTCCTGTTCCAAGACTCTAATTTATTTAGTGATTTGCAGTGTCATTAAGTCTAACTAGAAAAGTCTACCCTCAGGCCCATGATGTTCGCAATATGTGAACATCACGTGGGTTGCTTTGGCCATAGAATATTGCCAAAGCTATTTGCAGCTTTGGCCATGGACTATTCCATGTCTTTTGCTCGGAGGTTTTGGCGGACCATTATTTAGTGAATGTTCCCAGTCAGTATTGTTACACTGGGGACTTGCAGTGTAAATCAGACTCTTGGTCTGATTTTTTCTTGTCACTAATGCATGTCATCTCTCCTCCCTAGTGAGTCCTGTTGTTCTGTGTGGTTAGTTAGCTTCAGGGAGCCACTGGAAAGTTCTCCCAGAAACCCAGCATTTAACATATTGAAATACAGTACCTCTATCTGGATTGCCCCATTGGCTCTCTGATTGCCTCCATTGCTGGCTCATCAGTGAGTTGTTCATCAGCTCTAGAACTGACCAGGGAAGCTGGCTGAGGGTAGGAGCTGGGCCACCTGGTGGTGGTGATCATTACTAAAGAGTTTCGATTTAGTTTGAGCGACTCCATCCTCCTGTTGTCTGTTAAAGCTTTGCAGACTTTCCGGATGCTTTCTCGATTGGGTGGTAAACTGTCACTTGTTACCTGTTCCTCTGTGGTTAGGATGGGCTATGGGGGAAAAGGAATGGGGGGGTGGGAGCTGTGGTTTGCAGTAGGCCAAACAGAACTTCTATGACTAATGTGATCATTTAGCATGGAGCATTCTGAATAAGATAGCTTCAGGGAGCCACCGGGAGGCTCTACCAAAAAAAAGACATTTCTTTACATTAAGTGACCCCAAGAAAAGTATGTGTTTTTCTGGTAAGGATGCATCTACTGCATATAGTTCCTTGTGATTATTTTATGCCAAGTATTGCCAAGTGGTGTCTCAGGTTTAGGCTGCAAGGTGGCAGTTCTTATGCAAGACAGGCAATTTGGTGCTAGATATTGACAAGAATGATCAAATGTGTATCCACTATATACAGTACAGTAATATACCCCCCACCCTGGCTAGTCACTGTAAAAATTCCTTGATTGTCTTGCATCAGAATGTTATCAAGTGAACTATGATGCACCATATACAAAAATGTATTTGTTTCATTCAAGCTAGAAACATAACATACTAAGAGATGTTAGTTGTTGCATTTCCTCTATATACTGTACATTATAAATAGTTTAGGTTAGCTATGGGGGTAAATTTTTAATTTCTTCTCGAAACAAATTTTTTTTAATCAAAATTAACATAACAAACATTATTGAATATATTTACCTTTTTTACAGATTGCCAAATATGCACAAAAAAACAAGAAAACATTTGTATTTAATCTATGTGGAAGCTATGTGTGTGAAAACCATCCAAATGAATTGGCAGAACTTTTGCCATATGTGGATATCCTTTTTGGTTTTGTGGAAGAGTACAAAACCTTGGACAAGTTTGTTGACATTGAGCAAGTATCCTCCGGTCACGCAAACAATCCAAATAACATATCCCATGATATATTGCAGGTGTTAAGAGCCATTAAAGGTGAGGAAAAGATCATAAAGGACAATTTTAAAGGTGTGTCAGAAGATCTACGGAAAGTGGCAAAACTTGAATCTTTAGAGATATCCGATAATCATTTTGGTCACAAAGACGGTGTTGACATCAATGGAACCACCACTGGCTTATGTAATGGTATTATTAAGGATCATAGGGATTCCAATGGTTTTCTATACCACGTAAATGATAGGAAGCCGAAATTGGTTGTTGTAACAAAGGGTCCGAGTCCACTCTTGTACGTACATAACCATGAAGTTAGAGAACGTCCAGTGCCCCCAATATCCCCTAAAGACATTGTAGACACAACTGGTGCAGGTGACTCATTTGTGGGAGGATTTTTGGCTGCCTTGAGCACAGGTCAGCCTCTTCAAAAGTGTCTGGATTGTGGCACATGGACAGCTCAAAAACTTCTGCAACAAAAGGGTTGTACGCTTCCGTCTTTCCCAGCCACATTTCTTGGTCACAACTGAACGATAAGATCTCTACCTGTAACAACATTTCTAGGACATGCTACAATTTGTGTTAGCCATAATTGGTGAGAGAAGTTACCATATTAATAAAATCTACATTTACCCTCCATTATGGAGTGTTGATAAATATGAGAATATTGAAAATACTTACCACACATTGCTTTTATTTGCACTATTTAGAAAGGTTGTCAATAGTTTAATATAGAAGCCAGAAGTACTGTACATTTAAAAGGGTTTTTAAGTTTTGTTATAATTGCTCGAGGTATGATTAGCTATGATGACATTTGTGACTTAGATTACTTTGAAATCTATGTTATACATTAATTGTAGTAAAACACTATCAACACTTACTTGGCTATAGGAAAATAGAAAACCTTTAAAACTTTTTATTTACTGTATTTTGATACAGGTTTTTATTACTGCATTTAGTTACATAATTAGAATTATTACCATTAATAATAATTTTACTATTATTTTTATGATTGTTTTTATCCATATTTAATTAAATAATCTAATTTTTAATCTTAGCATCTTATTTTTTTTTGTCAATCGAAATGGCACCTTGTCAGGCCACAAACCGTCTGCATGTTCAGGAAATTGTTAAGACTTGTACCAAAGGAAGTTAGTTGTACCCTCTTTATCTGACTGAAGAGATAAAAACTAAGGAATCCCAAGTAATGAATAAGAATTACAACTCTACGTTCTAGTAGTGCTTGGCAGGGAATGTGTTGTGCTGTTTCATAGTATGTTACTCTTAAAGTTGGAGAGACATGCATAGGAAATATATTTTTGTTAATTTTAATTATAAGCAAGAATGTATCTATGCATAGCGCACGCACACACACACTTGCAGGTATACATACTCCCCCGTGACCTATTTCTTCCACACACACACATACACACATGCATACACACACACACACACACACACACACACACACACACACACACACACACACACACACACACACACGCATACTCATACAAATATTACACATCCAACAGGTCATTTCACATGCCCATTAAAATGTTAAATGGCCAACCACAACTTTTGAGAATAACTGAAGGATTGTATTTAGATAAACTACAAGTACAATAACTGCCCCCCTTATTGATCTCATTTTTAATATTAGTTTTGTATCGTGTATATTTCTCACCCCGAAGCCAGTTGAGCTTCCAGAATCTCTCCTCCATATCTGCCACTAACGAGATTGTGTCAAAAATCTTCTTCGAAGCTTTAATTGGATTATGAATATTTGGTTTGGCACCCAATTGGCTGTGCTTAATTTATTTAGTTAATATCTATTGTGAATTTTGCCCTTTAGTGAGTGAATCAATAGGACAAGACTATCAGCATATCTGTGGATACCAAGTAAGTTTGAGAAGTTAATAGACATCTTGCATAAATGCTAGAGTTTCACTGGTTTAGTGCAGAATTTAATGAATAAACAGTTTAATGAAGGCAATTTATTTCTAGTTCTACCAGTAATCAGATTATTCAGTTTGTTACTTCAGAAGGCATATTTAAAATGCATAAAGTTGACTGCATTATTGTAATAGCAATACAATTTGGATGAATGCAAAACTGTACTTTATTATGAAATTCTACTAGACTTAGGTACAGTATTAAGAAATTATATTAAATTTAGCATAGGGTGTTTTAAGTACAGTTATAGTACATTCAATTTTGAAAACAACTAATAGTCAATGTAATGGCTTTGTGGATTTCACAAAAAAGGGACCATTATTATTTTTTACCATCTATTTTGCATTGACATTTCCCATCTGTGAGTCTTGTCTATCTCAATATGTATTACTTTGTTAAAACTTTTTTTTCCATGGATACGAAGTCATCACAATTTTGACAGACTAGTAAAGTTTAATATAATGTATCTGTAATGTTGAAATATATTATAATTAATGATAATTGCTGAAATTTGTGAACACTGTACAAATGAAAATTGCCTGCTTACAGGTAACAATTATAAGAGTGATTTCTTTAGTGTAAGAGTAAATGTTTGACACATTCAGAGAACATTTGTAGTTCTCTCAATGTGAAGGATGAATAGAAAGACAGTATTTCAAAGGTTTAGGACTATATGCTACGTAAACACTTCTTGCTATGTATAGTATAGACTGATGATGGTAATCAAGTACATACTTGCATTAGAAACAGACAACTAATGCTATATTTTCCTATTGCTGCAATAGGGAAAAAAGTATTGGCTATGGAAATTCCTTTGGCAGGCAGTGGGAAAGTTGTGTGAAGTATGAAGCCAAAGGCATCAAGATGCTGATTATGATGCTTGCATCTTCTATAAAGCTTCTTTGAAATTAGTTTTCACTATTTAGTAACTAGGGGACACCATTACCCATCATTACCATTTTTAGGAGCTTCCGAGACTGTGCATAATTTGAAGAAAAGTATAATATGTCGTATAGATAGTCTTTTAGACTTTACCTAGAAATTAACTGATCCAAATTTGCAGCAAGGCTGGACTCTTACTGCTGATACTACCTATATCAAGAATGTTATTTTTTGAGCAAATTTGTGCTATGAAAGTGTAGAAGTACAAAGCTTTTCTAAATTAGATGTTGCTTGAAGAGATGTGGTTTTGTTCTCTCTTTCTAAACTCATAGCTCTTGTGATACCGATTGTTGTCTAGAATGGCCGAAAGTTCATCATAGCTTTGCGAGATCAGTAACAAAGAACGATATTATTTTGTCCACCTTGTGTCCCTGATGTATGTTCAAATGTAAAATTCATGAAGAGAGAAATCAGCGTGAAGAAATGCAAGTTGACTGTCATTTTCATATAATGCGATACACTAACTTAGAAGTTGTCTTTGGTAATATTTTGGTATGTGCACAATATAACCATTGTCTAATATGCTATTGAACTAGTAATTTTTTGCAAGTGTTGGAATTATGTATTAATTAAATCTTGTGTAGTATATCCAGTCACTTCAGGGCACTCTTGGAGTTAATGTCAAAGTCATTAACAAGACATATGTTAATATATTTCAATGGTTAAAGTTTTATTAGGCAAGTTGACTAAGTATTTTAGTTAACCCCATATCCTAATTTGCTGATGTAATTGCAATCCGCTATATATTCATTCAAGAATTAGGTATAGTACATCCTTGTATATCTTTGTCTGGTTCCCTCTGGCAACCCTTATCTGCAGGGATGGCACATTTCTCTAGTATAGAATAATTTATGGCAAAAGAATTTGATCCATGTCTCTAATTTGAATATATATATATGACATTTTACTATTTTGGTTAAATGTATTTCACACACAATTAGCAGTGTGGAAATATAAAAATCTTGTTGAGATGTCATTTTTTAGAATGACTTGGATAAATAATACTTCTGCCTAATCTTCAGGAACTTAGTGATGAATCTAGTGTTGAAAGCTTTTCATTTGTAAGGTACTGTACCTCAATTTTTTGTATAGACACACCTAGAAAGTGGCCTTAGTACTTGTTATTTATGGCTACTATATGCTCTATAAAGTATATAGATAGTAAAGTTAGGTTTAGCTTCTGTATCATTATGAATGTACAGATGCAAGTCATCATTATGAGAGAGCCAGCGTAATGGTTAAGTTTCATATTCACTGTTGTTTGGTAGTTTTAACGTGACTCAATACGTAAACACAGGTGTGGGAATCAAGGGGAAATTCTTAGTTAAATTCCATGGTCAAAATGTCTTGCCAGTTTTAATTTAAAAGTTGTGTGTAAGAAAACAATTACAATATTGGTCACTAATGTTCAATGTTAAGGATACTGTTGACTGACTGACTGACTATGGGTTATACATCATTAGTTTAAAATGTAAATTGACTATGATCATTGTTAGATTTTGAAGTGCTTACATCCATCCATTCATCAGAAAAGCAAGTTATTTTAAATTAATGAATTAATTTTAAATAAAAATGTTCTACTGAGCATATGGTGCAGTTTGTGGTCAGTTTCAAGTATATGGACTGAATCTTGAGTAAAATTATTAAAATCTGGATGTGAAGTGTAGACTTCTACACTGTACAAATATTTTTAATAATTTCATATGAATATTTCTGTGAATTTTATGAATGGATGTGGCTGTGCCGGGCTTCAGGCAAAATGACTGCATGATCTGGGAGTCCATGAGTGATAGTAATAAATTCAATAAGGATCTACATATATCAAAGGAACAGGAGAGATTTTCTTATAACCAAAAGACCCTGTCAAATTGACTCAAAATGTCGTAACATTATTTGTAAATGTGCAAAATGTTGTTTAACGCCCATATTTTTGTGTTTCTCCTGCATGCTGGCCCACCATTGTTTAGGTTTTTTTTATTACTAAGTGTGGCTGTATAGTTATGGAAGCAATTTATTTAAACAAAAATTGCATTCTTCTCTTTAAAATTTATTGCTTGAAACTAGATCAATGTAAATGTTATATATACATGTAGCATTAAGTACATATTATTTTATTAGAAGTCTCAGAGAATATATTATTATTTAAAGAAGCAACCTTGTATCAAGGCTGATAAAATGAGGTATTATGTAACACTGTAATATGTGTAATTGTTGCTAAGCTTGTCTTAAAAATTCCTGTCTTGCCATTACAGGATTACTAAAAGTTGAACATGAATGTAACCATCTTCATATTTCACATTTCTGATATTTTAGGTTTTACTGTTATGTCATTTATGTATGTCATTTACCTGTAAAATAACAGTACACATACTCAAAGTTTGCATTATTTTTTTATTATTGGTTATATATAAAAACTTCATGACAATTCTTCCGGTTAGTAATTCTTGTTTAATAAACAAAAATTGTCCATAAACTACAGCTTCTCAGAAATGTTAGTGCTGTAAGGAAATTGCAACTATAGTATAACTTTATAAATTAACAAATTTGTATCATTCTCAAGGGACTTAGAAAATGTGTTTTTTCCAAGGTATTCGTTGGCAACGTGAAAATCAAATGCTGTAGTTCTTAAATTTGTTTGAATAGGACAAAATGGTGGTGGTCTACACATGCATTACCCAGGTAAATTATATATTGGAAAAGCATTCTATTCTTCAATACAGCATCTGTTTTTTCTATTTATAAATAATTACATCTATTAATTTATATTTAGGTGGAAAAAAAAAGCAAGTGTAGTCAAACAGTTCTAGAATGAAACTGAGTTCTTTTGACTTCTGATATACAGAACACGGGTAAAGTACAGTACTCTTGATATTGTCATTGTACTAAACTGACAATTAAGTTGGCCTCTGCCTCATTCCACCTCTTCACAACTTGTATGCTAAAAAGAGTACAGTACTTCTTTCCAGGACATTGTATGCAGTTTGTCTCCATGTCCTATTCTGTACAACTATTGGAGCACAGTTTTTGTTCAGTCTCTCACTATTATACCTTGTGATGAGTTCTCTGGATTCACTTACCTCTAGTGATCAAAGTTTCTTCTTTTCTCCTTCTCTTCTCCTCTATACGCAGTAGTTCAAGTCTCGTGTTTTGAGTATAAGCCATGTGAGAAATTTTTGAGTTTAAATTTTCCTTTTAGTGCTTAACAATGAGTGGGGTTCCATGTTGTTTTGAAGGATTCCTTGTTTAAGTTTTAATAGGGCATGTTTGTTTACTAACTGCACATGCTATTACTGATTGAGACTTTGTGTAGGTGGGATATGCAATCATGCATGTGTGTGATGGAGGTACATATGTGGTGTGTCAGAAATTAAGCATTGTGTGCCTATTGAATAACAAGCAAATACATTTTACTTCGTCAATCTCTTCCATTTAAATATATTAAAATGATTCAAAAGTATAAATTATTGTGATCTATGATAATGAACAAAATTCAGCATTGTACATACATATATAAATAAAATGTCAGGAGGAGATTATACTTGTGTCCATTGTATCTAACTGAATAAAAGGATTTCTTAGACTAACATTATTTTTACCGTTCTCAGTTACGTAGTGTCCATGGCCTACCGCTGCCTTTTGATAATTACTCGCTTACCAATCCGAGTGTAGCCTTCATATGGTTCTATTCAATCAGATTGCTTCACACACACTTTCGTGATTTCCTTGGTAGTAAATCCTAAAATCTTACTTATAAGTCATAAGTGGTTTTGACTGACGCTGTTCTTTGAGGATGCTCTGATAAATGTACTCAACTGTTCAGTTATGTGCACAATGAAATCACGAACATGGTGCATCTATGAGACTGTATTGAAGCCGTACAATGGGATTGAACCCACATCCATGAATGCATCATGTGCCTCATGTATTTATAACTAGTGTTATAAATTGCTTTAGTGCCAATCACACATCTTCCATATAATATACATCATTCTCCCACAAACAAGTTTTGTTTTGACAGCTTTATTTAAAGAAAAATATTTTACATAGAAAAAGAATTGTATACACATTTTTTTCTTGCAAGACTTTCTTGCACATTCCATACTTAGTTGCTTCCATTCATCATTGCTGGTACAGCATATTCTAAATAAAGCATAGCTATTGAATAGCTATGCGACATCTTGATTTAGTGGTATTCTAGATGTTTGCTTTGAAGACGCTTAAGTCTTCCCTCTACGACTAAAGAATAGTTAGTGTTTCCTTTTATTCTCCAGGGTTAGTAATCTTTCCTAGCTAATCATATATTCCCAATATGGATGTTTTATGGTTTTCAATTTTGTTTTCATTCAAAATATAAATTACTTAAGTTTAATGTTTTAAGTTCTTCAGTATTTAAATTAAGCAGAGTTATTGCATAGTAACTGTATTTTTTGTGTAAATCATGACAGCTTTGTATTTTATTATAATACCATAGACCTGAAGCCTTGCGTTCTGGAAATTTGCCATCCGGGGGGAAAAGGGGGAAAGCACAAGTTTTTTAATGTGATTCAGCACACAAACTTTTTACTTTAAACCTCTCAATTCTTCCATCAATCCTTTTATGTTTTGTTCCATTCACCCATTCCAAGATACTGGCCTCTTGCCTATACCATCTGATCCCCTTTTTTCACTCTTCCATATGTTGTTGTTTTAGATTCAGCTGCTCTGAACAATAGTTCCAAGAAGCACATGTTATGGTGAGCCCGTAGTGGACTACACTCTTCCATACTCTTCTTGTTAAATGATTCTCTGGTGCAATACTAATGTCTCTTTCACTTAAGTGTAAGGTGCCTCTCCCACTTCATGGCTCCTTATTTCATTCCCTTAATAATTTCACGGGTACCACATCTCCCATATATTTCCTAATTATATCTATCCCACATACTGACTCCTGAAATATCCTCATGACCCTGGAGTCTTTTACCACCTTCCACCCCATGGTGATAGGTCCAATACTGGCTATTCCTCATATTTAGTACATACAAGACAGTCAAAATTTGCTAGGATCCCAGCCGTATTGGCAGTGCCTGTAATGATCTCGTGGATTCTGTAGTACCGATCCTATCTTTTGTAAGCAGTTCCCTTTCTCTTACTTCTACAGTCACACCAAAGTCTGCAACCATTATAGTAATAAATGGTCAAGTATTACAACTAACAAACCATGTGCTATCAAGTGTGGCCTATCCCTATGACCCTCCTACCACAATAAGAGGCAGTCAGAAATAGCCGACTCGGATGCATATCAACCACACATACTAAACTTGAGGACACGTTATGAATCATCCTGCTCTTTATTATTCAAACTGCATTGTCTTGCACCTTCTAGTAGGGTGTCCTGATATTCAGGATAAGACTTTTTTTTTCCCCTGATGTCTATAATAAGTCAGTTGTTTGACTCACACACATTCACATATATGATTTCATTTACAGTTAAGTTTTCTAGTCTACATACAGCACACACTATCCTTGAAAACCTCCCACATCCACTATATTCCCACCCACCAACCATATCCCCAAACTCACTAGCTCTCCCTATGTTCATATGCGTGTTCAGTATTTTAAAAGTATAGTGCAGATTCAGGTACAGAAATATTTCTCTTGCTTGGCTGCAATCAAACCTCATCTATTTTACATTCTGAAGTTGTTGCACTAACATTTCGGCACTTTTTGTATCTTCTAAAACCATTTTTTTTTTAAGGACTGGTGCATCCTTATCATTAAGAATGCCCCGTTTCATTCAATTATTGGAAGTTATTCATTCTTATATTTTATAACAAATCATAATACTAAAAGACCCTTATATTTCTAGTGATGGAATTTAACACTTTCATGCATGAATTTATAAGTAGTTTGCATTCATTCTCTGCTACAAATAGGTTCACAGGTGAATAATGACCATTTTGGATTGCAGTATTTAAAAAAAGCATTCAAATACTGTATGTATTTATCAGGACAAAAAAAGGCAGTATGCTCTAGCCTTTACTGCTGCTGTAGCCAATTGGGACTTTTTCCATTTATGTCCCGCCACTATTCCTTTCAATGTTATTGGTTACATGTAAGGTAGTAATTTTTTTTGTTTCTTTTTTCTTTTTTCTTTTTTGTAACAGAGGTAAATCTTGTCTCTAAAATAGTGAGGCACATGTTTACCACCATCATAACTGTATTATGTATTTGTACGTACAGCTGTACACTACACATAAGCATGTCCAGAAATTGAGGCATTTGATAACCTTGTGAAACAATAATTCATTGTGTCGGGGGACAGGCAGCCAGGTGTATATAAATAGGCTTGCATCGAGGTCATCCCATTTATACTTAGGTACTATATTGTTCTATGCATCACTGTACTGTTTATCTTCATAGATGACTTCTTCCACAGAATATTTGAATACAGTACTTCAGTTCTGTACAGTAAAACAATGTGCGTGTGTGCACTGTACTGTGTTAAGTGACAGTACAGGTATAGACTAAAATGGTGATCCTTTGAAAGATTGTAATTAGACGAGTGATAGTATATTGTACTAGTCATTCATATTTATTCAATATTTATATAGTTATATTTGTTGATATAATTTATAGAATGAATAAAGTACTTAAGCTTATGCTTCTTATGTCGGATGTCTCTTTACTCCTTGAATATTTTGAGTTTCATTCCCAGTGTTTACATAGCTAAACAAGTTACTTTAAATACAGGCCTACCTCATACATTAAGAAATTTGCTAACGCGATATATCATTTTATGCTTCAGGGTAAAAGTGTGCAGCTCGAATACCCAGATTGCTGGTTCAAGTAATCACATTGCCCTAATTGATTTTCTATCATGGTTGTCTTCTGCCATGATGCCTTGAGAAAAACATCAAGTGTGTTGAACTACTGCTGGTACTTCTGTTGCTAATACATTTCAATGCAACAGTCAACACTAGCTTGTAAATTCTTGCTTACAGTATAGATACATTTTCAGTCAGGATTATCAGTTAAAGCAGCCATGAGTTTGTCAAGTGTTCAGTGCCTCGAAAACTTTAATAGAAATAGTTCAAACTTGTGTTGGCTCAGGTTGTGTCCTCCCTTCACTCCTATTGTCTTCTGCTCATATTTCATTCAGCAGAATTATTATTAAATTGGTTAAGCAGGGCAACCCATAATCGAGTTTAGACAGTACAAGAGAGGAATATAAAAAGAGGAGCGCTGCAAGAAAACCCGTTGGGTTGTTCATCCTGTCACTTGTACCCAGACACAGCTGGGACTTGCTTAACTGTTTCAAGTGAACAGCTCCTCAAACAAGAAGACTAACATTCGTCAACCATTAAAATCTTACGTTATTTTGCTGGTGCAAAATGGGGGCATCCTTTAAGAACAGTATCTATATTTCCCAAATAGTGCTTTCCCTACTCAAACATTGTGGGGTTTATTATTCTACACATTTCTAATGACTGATGTCCACACACACTCGGGTAGTGGTCAAGGCGGTGTCCATCACTCACCGCATATTCTGCAACTCCTCTGCTCAACTGTTGTTTCCATTCCGAATCTTCATGGATATTTGTATCAAAAACGAATTCTTGCTATTACTGATTCTCTCCCGCGGCCTCCTCTTCGTCCATAATGATTGGGATTGCCAGCTGCAACAATGTTGTACCAGCATACCGATCCAATGATTTGTTCTATCCTCCTTTCCTCAGTTATCTTGTCATGGTGATGTTGCCTGATAATGCCTCTAATTTGTAGAAGAGTCATGGGTATGAAGTATATGGTATACTTCCGCGCCTTCCGCAGCCAGCACATCTGCTCGTTCATTTCCACATATTCCAACATGGGAGGGGATCTACATAAATTTAACGATTCTTCCTTGATTGGTTAGTACTCTCACCGCTCTCTTGATCTCAGCGACTATCGCAAGATTTTCTGCCCGATTTTTAGTAAGGCTTTGTAGTGCTGCTTTAGAGTCTGCAGATCACTATACCATTAGTGCCTCGTTCAAGGAATCTTAGCGCCATAACAATAGCAGTTAGCTCTGCTTGTGTTGAGGCATAGTTCTCAATACAGGCTTTTCCTTCATTTCCATGTTGTAAGGCATTATTCCTAATTACAGTGTATGCTGCACCAGCCTTGTCATTGACAGGGTTAGATGACCCACCAGTGTAGACTTGATCTAACTCATTTCCATCATCTTAATAGATTTCCTCCAGATAATTGTGCCTCATTTCTTGAGCTATTATGTTGGACTTTTTCGTTGCCATTGCATTGATGATGATCTTGCATGGGTCTTCCACCCAGGGAGGTAACCTCTCTACAGGCAGGAGCTCGCGGGCTTGCTCAACCAGGTGAAATTCTTCGAGGTAGCAGACTGATCTGTGATGCCATTTTTCGCTTCTGTTTCCACCTGAAAGTAGCACAGAACTCAGGTGTTTCTTATCAATATCATTGTAATGATGATCTCTGGCTATCTTAATTGAAAGCTTAGCATTCAGTTCCTGAATTTGGCTTTTAACACTGGGGAGGGACAACAACTCTCGTAGATTAGATGTTTTGGCAGTTCTTGGTACTCCAAGAATGATTAGCATGGCTTCATTTTGTATGCTTTCAAGTTTTTTCATATCGCTTTGGGAATAGGTGCACATAACTGGTGCGGCATAGTCTATGACGGAGCGCACATAGGCAGTGTACATTATTTTAAGCACCGCATTAGAAGCTCCATGTCCATTCCCGGTCGTCCTGTTGTGTCCTCCCTCCCCACCTCCCACGCTCCCTCCATCTAGACACTACAGGGACACCGCAAGGGGGTCCCGGGAGTATAGTCTGGTGTGTTCTCGACTCTCAATCGAGAATTCAGGGTTCTAATCCCAGTCTGGGCAGAAATGGTTGGGCGCATTTCCTATCACCTAATGCTCTCAAACCTAGCAATAAGTAGGTACCCAGAAGTCGGCTTCTTGTGGGGCTTCGTCCTGGGGAGGGTCAGTAATTCGACCTGGGGGAGGGAGAGGAAGTGACCACGATATAAGCCTAACGTTAAATTACACCCTGACTGCCTGTCCCCCGACACAATGAATACTTATTAATCTATCCCTCCCAGTCGGCAAAACATTATCCATGTTGAATCAAAGTTAAATCACCGTTGTCGACGTTAAATCATCGTTGTCAATATTGTCAACTATCGTGAAATAAGCCGTAAAACTCTATGGACAACCAAACCAACATTTCGCAACAGGCTTGAATCTTTCTTCGATGCAGCAATGGTAGCCAGCCTCCCTATACAATCAAGTCACCAAAGGATAGTTGCGTCAAGCTAACTACAACAGCCTGGCCACCAACCCCGGACAGACAAGACAGACATTCTCACCTAACTTTCTTCATGGTCGGTGGTGGTCGGTTTGCGACGGTTCTAGTGGGTGGGCGCCGTCCCTTCATTGCCTTCAAAAAGATATGATACGCGTACTGCCTAATCGCTTTTTTTTTATAAATCTTACCATTTTCCACAACCTTTAACACTCTCCAGTACACCTCCCCCACATTTCAAGTATATTTAAAAGCATTTTTAGTAAAATAATTAGGATTAAATAAAAACATTACATTCTCATCATTTTCAACTCTAGTTTTTCGTAAATGGTCACTGCTTGATCGCAAGCGGGGATTTTTCTGGCGGGGGAGAAAGAAACAATTGCGCAGCGCGTTGCGCGGGCAGTTTGGGGCCTGTATAAATACGGGCGCACACTGGGGCTCTGCCTCACTCCGCCTGCCCTCGCCGCTGCCTTCGCAAAACCCCACCCTCCCCCCCTTTGCAAGCGGCTGCTTTTGTACCCCCGTCATGCTTTGCACAGTTGTCCCGATTGTCTCCCCACTGCATGTGGGAAGGGGGGTGCAGCGCCGGTCCCCAAGTGTCCCGCTGTCCGCAGCTAATACTTTGCCCAGTCTAGGTGCTAGCAAGCCCTACTTGTAGTCACACCCCCTTCTCCTTATCCATTAGGTCTTTTACGGCCTCTTGGCCGGGTACATTACGTGTTATGTGGTCTCTCACTTATTAGTTATTCTTTGTGTCCTGCCTGTTATATCCTAGTGTTATATAATTACTACACATTTGCACTCGGCCTTAATTCTAGTACCAGTTAACCTTTAGGTTTCTGCAGAATTAGTTTCCATGTCACTATAGGCTAAGGTCTCATACTTACTACGGGTGTACCTTTTAAGTTAAATCTAGTCCTTGGAATTGTTACTGTTAATTCTTACTTTATATATTTACTTTATATATTTTAATATAAACGTTATATAGTCCTTAAATTATATATTTTGAAACTCTATATATTTACATGTTCAATATTAAGTTTAATAATATCAACTTTGTTATAAGCCTATAATATAAACCGTGTTTAATATAAACTTTATATAATTACTTACTTTATATTTGAACTTTACACATTTACATGTTCTGCAGAATTTAATCTTCAATAAACTTTAACGCTCCATACTGCCAGTATCTTTCTCCCCCTGGTCAGAAAAATGCAATAATAGGCGGCGGGACATGGACAGCGTCATACGACGGGTGGCGAATAAAATCGACAGACCGCCACAAATATCGACCAGGATGACTTTTGCTAAAAAGAGAAGACTGTCTAAAAATGTCCAGACTCTACCACCATCTCTGTCACATGCTAGAGAGGATGCCAACAAGGTGGCCTCCCTACCAGAGCCTCATATTAACACCAAGTAAAGCATCCAGCACTTCCACAAACACGATAACATCATTTATATTTGCCAACATCCACGGTATAAAAACACGCAAATCTGACAAAGTTCATTTTATAGATGGTCTCCTACATGAGGCAATTGCAGTGTTTGCAGCCCTAACAGAAACCCACACAAAGGACTGCAATGATGGTGAAATGTGGATCTCGGTATAATCTTTTCAGATGTAACAGCGTTTCCTGCCCGAAACGCTACGCGTACTAGTGGCTGTACAAGAATGTAACAACTCTTGTATATATCTCAAAAAAAAAAAAAAACAGGAAACACAGGCTACAAGGGGGGAGGGGGGTCAGCCGCTACATCAATGACACACTCATCTGCACTGAGCTGCTAAACACCACAATCGATATGGTGGAAGTGCTGATAATCAAAATAGAGATCCTATATGTAGTTATTGTCCTTGTATATAAATCACCGGAGGCAAATCCTCAGCAGTTTAAAAACCAACTAATGAAAATAGAACACTGCTTGGAAAACCTCACAAATCTAGCCCCGAACATCTTCCTACTTGGGGACTTCAACCTGCGCCACCTGAACTGGAAGCACCTGGCTAATACAGTTATATCCGAGAGAATGTCAGGAAGTAGCCTAAATGAATAGGCACATGCAAATGACCTGCTACGGATGTGCGACAGATTTGCCTTAAACCAGCAAATAGTAAAACCTGAAAAGAGAACACGTTGGACCTCATTTTCACTAATAATGATTAACTGATCAGGAACATAATGATTACAATTACCCGTAACTCAGATCACAACCTAATTGAAGTTCTGACAAGCATGGGGAGCAGACCTGCACAACCTGTACCGAGACCCAGGGGAGGAGAATTCAGCAAATTCAATTTTACTAATAAGCGGATTAACTGGGAGCAAAT